AGCAGCAATGGGAAATACCCACCCACCAAAGTGTTTACCTCTTTTCTTTTTAAAAAAATTGGTATCGGTATGTGTTTGCAATACATACAGGAATTGGAACATGTACCTATGGTGTCTTTATCATTTCTATTCTCCCTACTACAACCTCCCCTCCCTTCCCAGAGCCCCTTCCTATCTCCACAGAATCTACTTCCTGTTTTCTTTCTTTCTTTTTTTTTTTTTGTACCAGGGATGGAACTCGGGTCCTTGCGCTTGCGCAGCAGGTAGTGAAACCACTGAGCTAAATCCCTGGCCCAAACTTCCAGTTTTCTACCATCTTTTATTTGCTCTTTAAATTATTTATATTTTGAATGTGATATTTAAACTTCTGTCTGATTTATTTCACTTAGTAGTATGGTCTCAAGATTCATCCATTTTCCTACAAATGACTCACGTGTATCCTTCTTTATGGCTCAGTAGTACTCCACTGTGTATATACACCACATTTTCTTTATCCAGTCACCTGTTGATGGGCATACCTCACTTTCTTCCATCATGTAACATTTCACTCTGTCAGTCCTATATCCTAAAATACTGGGTTCTCCTCAGCGTTGATTCCAAAACTTTATTTTTGTCTCTTTTCCAAATTACCTTTGGACTGTTGCTCAATTTTACTTTAGGAAATTGCTGTTACTTAAGTGATAGTAATTACTCAGGTGAGATATGATTACACAAGTGGATTCTAATTGTGAATTTAATGGAAAATTTACAGAATAATTTTTATAGGAGAATGATGATTTTTATGATGCTATTTTGTTTTGTTGTTTGTTGGTTGTTATTGTTGTTGAGACAGGGTCTTGCTATGTAGGTCAGGCTGGCCTTGAACTCACTATGTAGCCCAGGCTGGCCTCAAACTCATGGCAATCCTCCTGCCTCAGCCTCCTGAGTGCATATGCCACCACACCCAGCATAGTATTTTGTAATTTTTTAAAATTTTTTTCAGTTGTTGGTTTACTGCTTCTTTCCAAGATCCCATAACAGTGCCTGGCATGTAGTTAGGGGTCCAATAAATACTTTTTAAATGAGTCTAGTAATGTAATAAATTAGTAACAATGTTGAGACTTTTTGCATTCTGTGATAAACTCTAATTAGTCATAATATATATCTCAGAATAGACCTACATTAAAATTTTTTTTCTTAAATTCTTTTATTGGTACATTTTAGGTATACAATGTGTTTACATTTATCATTGGGTGCTTGTACCTGTACATGATGTATTTTGATTCTTATTTTTTCCCCATTCCCTGTGCTCCCCTCCCTATTTGCAAAGACTTTGTTTCCATTTTTTCCTTTTCTCATAATTTTTCCTTTCCCTCTTTCCTTTCCCCCTCCCCTCCCACTTCCCCTTCCCCTTTGAACCTTTTCTTCCTATTTCAAATTATCAATTATTCATTTTAATAATTTTAATCCTTATTTACACTTTCAATTTCTCACACCAGAGAAACTATTCAGCATTTGCATGTGTGTCCTATTTATTTCACTTAAGAGTATAGCCTCAATATGCATCCATTTAGCTATAATGTCTCTAGTTTCTTGTTCTTTATGGCTGAGTAGTACTCCATTTTATTAAAAAAACCACATCTTCTTTATCCAGTTTCCAGTTGATGGGCACTTGGGCTGTTTCCAAGCTTTAGCTATTACAAACTGTGCTGCTACAAACATGGGTACACATATATTGCTATGTATGATTCTTTTAATTCTTTTGGGAAGATACCTAGTAGGGGAATAGCGGGGTCAAATGGGACCTCCAGTCCTAGTTCTTTGAGGTATCTCCATACTGACTTCCACAGTGGTTGCACCAGTCTGCACTCCCACAAACAATGGAGAAGGGTTCCTTTCTCCCCACACCCCCACCAGCATTTGTTATTGGTTGATTTCTTTTCTTTTTTTTTTGGTACCTGGGATCAAACTCGGGTCCTTGCGCTCGCAGCAGGGGGTGAAACCTCTGAGCTAAATCCTCGGCCCTATTGGTTGATTTCTTGATAGCAGCCATTCTTTCTGGGGTGAGGTGGAATCTCAGTGTTATTTTCATCTGCATCTCTCAAATGACCAGTGACGCTGAACATTTTTTCATGTTTATTTGCTGCTTTTACTTCTTTGAGAAATGTCTGTTCATTTCAGATGCCCATTTTTGAATTGAGTCTTTGAATTTGGGGAGTCTGATTTTTTTCAGTTCTTTATATATGACCTAGATTAAATTTATTGGTTGATCAAATCTACTCTCCCATATGGGATTAACCCTGTCTCATCTTGTTTTGTTTTCTTTGTGCTGTTCATATCTTGAAGCCAGGCTTATAAAATGAATCACACAGCTTCCCATTTTATTCTGTGCTGTGGAAAGGCTGGGCAGGATAAGAATCATCTGTCTTTTTTTATTGAACCTATAGCCTCATACATGCTAGGCAAGTGCTCTACCTCTGAGCTACACCCAGTCACTCCCTTTTTCCCCTTTTCATTTTATTCTGAGGCAGAATAAAATTACAGCAAGCTTTACTTGCTCTTTCACAATTTACAACTCATTGTAAAACATTTAGACCATGAACCTTTTTGGTAAGGTTTTCTTTTTAACAATCATTTCAACTTCTTTTGTGGTTATTGATCTATGAAGGCTTTCTACTTTTTGTGGATTAAATTTTTGAAATTTAGGTTGTCTTCAATAACTTTCCATTTTATTGAATGCTGATATAAGTTATATATGATATTCTCTAATTTAAAAAAAAATCTTTATAAATATTTTCTTTTTATCTTATGTTGATTTTTTTATTTTGATTTTTATATTCCCTTTTTCTTGATTAAACTTTCCAAAGATTTCCCTAATTACTTGTTCATTTCAACAGACGTATTCATTTTCTATTTTTATTTTATTTTTATTAATTTTAAAGTTATAAGATTTAGCAAATAAAAATCTATGATACAAGAATGTCCCACAGTTTTTCACTTTGTTCTTCCTTTTACTTTCTCTGGATTTATTTTGTTATTTTTCTTGCTTTTTCAGTCAAAAAGCTAGGAACTTATCTTCCATCTTTCTTCTTTTCCAAAAAAGTACATTTCATGCTATAAATTTTTTTGGTCCCATCTCTTGGTTTTTAATAGTTAGTACTCCTTTTGTTGCTCAATTTGAAATACTTTATAACTTCTGTTTTACTTTCTCTCTAATCCAACAGTTACTATGATGTCACTTTTTAATTTTTCTTAATGTAATCTGGATACTAATCTTTAAGGGTTGTATTTGTTATAAGTATCTTCTTTCAAATTATAACTTTGAACTTTTTTATGATACCTTTTAATAAGTAGATTTTTTCATTTAAATGTCATTGAAATTATCAACCGTCTCATTTATGATTTGGGTTTATGGCTTCCTTTTGCCCTATACAAGTCCATAAAAATATTCTCTAGGGTTTTTTTTCCCCCTTCTAAAAGTCACTTTTCAAGCCAGGCATTATGGTACATGCCTTAAATCCCAGCTATTTGGGAGGCTGAGGCAGGAGGATCACAAGTTCAAGGCTAGTCTGAGCAATATAATAAGAACTTGTGTCAAAATAAAATAAAAATTCCTTATATTTTGACCCTTCTCTGGAATTCATTTGTGATGTATATGCAAGCCAGGGTTCTAAACATATATAATGAATTATCCCACCATTATTGGTAGAGTAAGTAATCCTTTCCCTATAGATCCTGAGTGTCGATCTTAAGTCGATCAAGTTTTCATTTATGGGTGTGTTCATTTCTGAACTCTCTAGTCTATTTTCCAAAAGTCTAGTTATCTACCCTTGTACTAATATCACACTGTTTTAATAAAAATAACTTCCTATTAAAGGCAGGTGTCTGATAGGTAAAGTATCTCTTCTCATCTTTTTCTCCTATTTGATTGGGCCTAAGAGAAACCTAAATTATAAGTTACTATCTCTCAAAACTGTAAATGTATCATTGCACTGATTTCTTTGGGGGTAGGTGTTGTGTGTGTGTGAGTGAAACTAAGCCAATTGTCCTCCATTTATTATTCCAGAATTTACTAGTGAGATTAAATCACTCTAAGAACACAGGAGATACTAAATAGAAGTATATTCATGTGGAAGGTACATTTGTCCCTTATTTCGCCACTACAAGTTACTACAAACACAATTTCTTAAAACAACACAAAATTACTTTCTTATAGGTCAGAAGTCCAGATTCTGTCTCACTGTGGTAAGGTCAAAGTGTCAGCAGAGTTGGTTCCTTCTGAAGGGTAAGGGAAAAAGACATCTTGCTTTTTTTAGCTTCTAGTGGGCACCTGGATTTCTTCATTTGTGGCTCCTTCCTCATCTCTAAATCTCATCATCCCAGTATCTGTTTCTGTTATCACATCACCTTTTTCTCTGTCTTCTCATGTGTCCCTCTTTACGAGATCACTGTGATTACATCAGGCCAACCAGATAACCCAGGATAAACTCCCCATCTCGGGATGCTTAACTTAATCACACCTGCAAAGTCCCTTTAACCAGATAACAAAATCAATCTCAGGCTCTAGGCATTACGATGCATAGAATTTTAGGGACCCTTTGTTTACCTGTCACAGAAGATATCAACAGTTGGTTAAGAATCATTCTCTACTAATATTCCCGTGATGTTTGTTTGTTTATTGGTTGTTTTCTTTAATTCTTTTATTGGTACATTTTATGTATACAACACAATTACAATTCTCATTGGGAACTTTACGTGATGCATCTTGATTCTTATTTTTTCCCCATTCCTAGCCCACCCTTCCCTATTTACAAAGACTTTATTTCCCTTTTTTCCATTTCTCATCATTTTTCCTTTCCCTTCTTTCCTTTCCCTTCTTTCCTTTCCCCTGCCCCTCCCACTACCCCTATGCCTTTGGACCTTTTCTTCCTATTTTGCATTATCAATTATTCATTCTAATCATTGGTACATTTTAGGTATACAATATAATGACATTCATGGTTGGAAATTTACACCTTTACATAATCTCTCTTGGTTCTTATTTTTCACCCTTGCCCAGCCCTCCCTTCAATCCCTCCATTTATCGTTTTGTTGTTTGAAGGTGATGGGGATCAAACTCAGGGCCTCACACATGCTAGGCAAGTGCTTGGCCAGTGAACTATATTCCTAGCCCTTTATTTAATTTTGAGGCAGAGTCTTCCCTAAGTTGCCCAGGCTGGCCTCAAACTTGCAATCTTCCTGCCCCAGCCTCCCAAATAAATACCTAAGATTCAGGCCTGTACCATCCTGCCCTGCTTCCCTTGATTCTTGTTCTTTTAGGCCAAGTGTTTGATCATCCAGCCTGTACCAGCAGGAGGTGGGCTAACAACCATAGGAGAGGAGCTCTGCTGTCTGCCAGGACATCTTCACCAGGCTACCTTCCAACCTGGTGTCCTCCCAGGATCCCTGGGGAGGGGGCAATAGAGATTTTGCTCACGTTTCCAAATTCCTTATAATGAATTAAATGTTTATAATGAATTACCAGTTCAGTGTCATTCTGTATCCAGGGATAAAATTTCATTCCTCTTTCTATTACTCATTTTTATTATGCTTATCCAAGATAGGCTTATGCATATTTTTATTATGCTTATATTGTTGGTCACATAACATACTAGAGGATCAACAATGAGGTTACATGGCACAAGTCAATGACTTCAATAATAATGGGTAAAAAGAAATGTTAATAACAATGTCAACTGTGTTGGAAAATTTTTAACATAAATCTCCTTTTATCAAGTTTCTAGGGAGAAATTAATGTCCAAGATATTAAATTAATACCCTTATAGTAAAAGTCATAGGATATTAAAATTCAAAGAAAATAGGTTTCAAAATAAACTTACCTTGTTTTTATGGGTTAAAATGCAGAGAAATTAAAGGCCCCAAAATCACGTTCTCTGCTTATTTTGCTCTATGCCGGCTGGATGGATTGATTGCAATGCCTAAGAATCAGAGAGATCTTTTGGCAACTACAACATAAATTGTATCTCACTGGAATAAAAGCAGTCCCCTTCAGGGCCTCCAAATTTAAAAATATCACCAGCCAAGGCTGTGATGTACCCTTCTTTTCGTTTCCTAAAGAGTCATATTCAGAAAGCAAGCCAATTCCTAGTAAGATCTCAAACACGATTGCATACCTAGAATCAATACTTGGCAAAAGTCTGTTGCAGAGATTACGTCCTCACCAAGATGCCAGTTGGTCAATATCAAGAATCCATTGCCTGTGACTTTAATCCCAGTTGGTGGAAACACCCTAGCCAGTAGGTTAATTTCAGCACGATAGCATCTTGCACTTATTGTATCTGGGGAGAGTCTCGTCTGGGTACTGTCCCCCTTTTCAAAGTGAGCATTTGAGAGGACGTTTCACTTCTGCAAAGTTTGGAAATGTGAACGGACAGTCTCCTCAGTCAGCATTTTACTTGAGAAGCTGTTCTTTCTCACCCAGATATTCAAAACCTTTTTGTTGCCATGTCCCTGTTAAACTTCCGGTTCTACACAGCAGTAGATGAAAGTGCTGGGATGAAAGTGAACTCTGGCCGGTAGCAGAGCTCCCACAGTCCCCGGGGGATGTCTTCCGTGGACCCTTGTGGCTGGTCCGAAACCTCTGTCTATGGAATTCCTTAGGCCTCAGAAAACCATCACCTGGGGCGGTCTCTCCATCATATCCATCCAACCAGATTCTAGCAATCTAGAGATCAAGTAGAGGAAGTCACTCTTGACCCACCTGAATTCAAACTGAGGCCATCCAGACCGCCCCTTTTTGCCCTTGAGGATAGCTCAAAACAACAGCCTAAAAGAGGAAATGAAATGAGGGCTGCTTGTTTACATTACCTTCCTAGACTTAGCACTAACACATTGAAAACAAATCTCTCATTAATGCTCTGTGGTCCACAGCGAACCCAGCTGTTCCACAGATTAAAAACACTAATATTTTTCCTCCCCTTAACATCTGAAAGAGTAGTATATGGAAAGACTGTTTTCCCTCTATAATTGAATACTTGCTTCGGCTGTGACTGCTTATTAAGTCCTCTTCTGCCTGCTGGCCCCTGCCAAAGGTCTCTCATAGCCCCTGTGCCCCTGCCAAGGCCCTCTTAGACCTTCTGAGTGGCTTTTCACCAAGGTCTTTTCCCTAGGCCACAGCTGTTAAGAGCCTCGGACTGCACCATAAAAAACTACCTGGCCCCTAGATAAGCCTAGACAACTGCCAAGATCAAAATGTCCCCACATACATGAAAGAACAAGGCCCCAGGCCCCAAGGCCAATCCCTGGCCACTCCAGAAGTCTATCTCTCCTGTGTTATTCCCTTACCTTCCACTAATTACGTTCCTTTTTTTTACTTATCAATTTTCTAGCCAATGCACCAAATCCTGGAACATAAAAGGAGTGACCAATAAATAACAACCCCCCTCCTCCTCGCAGTTCAAAACAAATTAAAATAAGATAAAGAAATGGAAGGAGAAAGCCAAGTTGCTTTATTCTGGAGAGAGTTGGATTAAATTATTCACATAATTTAATATGTGAGTCAGAAGAGCTTCCCAACACCAAGCTGTAGACTAAGAGCCCGAAGTTCTGGCCCAAAGTAGACTCATCCACCTGGGCTGTCAATGAAATAAACAGCCCAGGGGCAGAGTCAGGGAAGATCAGAGAAAAACTGGGTTTATGCTAATGCAATTCCCTCCACCTGCAAGGATAAAACAGGGTTGGTTTTGTTTTTGTTCATGCTGGGTATCAAACTCAGGGCTTCACACATGCTAGGCTGTACGACGGAGCTATACCTCCAGCCCTGAAATTTTTTACTAGTAAAAGATATGTCTTTATTCCTTGGGTAATTAAATAACTTGATTATTTTTAAAGCCAAGATAGTGCCAACTACTGCTGTCTGGTGCCATGGTTATAATCTGAAAGTCTAAAGATAAGATTTCTCTGGTTTTATCAGTTAACATTCAAGAATGTTCTCACTTGTCCTCAAATTGTTTTTCCCATGTCATTGTGAAGACACCTATGTTCATATGCTAATTGGCCTTGCACATGATTCTCCATTTAGAACAAGATGTATGTAAATAAAACCTTTTTCTCAATTACAGAGACAAACATTTTAAGCTTTCTCAGATTCCCTCTGACAGCCCTTTGGTTCTTCCTTTTCCAGATGTGGATGAAATGGCCACCCTGCATCAATTTAGTTCATTTCCTGAGTGATCATGGAATGGCCAGCTGACCCCACAGGGGAAAACTGGGGATTTAGCTGCTGGGAGTATGCGCCTTGGCCAAGGCAAATGAAGATGGGAGGGAGCTGGCAGGCAGCTGCTCTCACCTTCCTCCCTCTCTTAGTCTACTCTGACTTGCACCTCCTTCTTGCAACCTTTCTGGAGAATTGCTGAGTGCTGAGCAAACGAGCCTGCTGAAAGATTTGCTGTTGGAAAGAAAGCTCTGCCTCTTGCTTGCTGGGCTTCTCCTCACCTGAAGCTGGTTTGGCTCATCCTACCCTTGTCTTACAGCAACCAGTCTCCCACAAATCCAACACCCAATTTTTTTTTTTTTTTTTTTTTGTGGTAGTTGGTATTGAACTCAGGGCCTCTGCACTGAGCTACATCCCCAACCCTATTGGTTGTTTTTTGGTTTGGGAGGGTTTTTTTGTTGTTTCTTTGAGGCAGGGTCTTACTGAGTTGCCCAGGTTGGTATCAAACTTTTGATCCTCTTGCCTTAGTCTCCCAGGGTGCTGGAATTACAGATGTGCACCCAGTTTACCTATCATTTCTTAGAGAGGCAAAGAGAATATGACGTTATGCAAAATATGGGAAAACTTCCTTTAAATTACTCTTTGGATTTCCTTCTCTTTCCTGAAAAATTGTACAGCTCATCCATCTCTGCTTCCTACTTTACATGTCCTTCTTCCCTTTCTCTTCAATCTTCTCTTGTAATTTTAAATATCTCCCTCATTTTGTGTTGGCACAGCCATTTGGTCTCCTCTCAGCATTTTAATTCCCTTCCCTGCAAATCATCCTGCTTAATTCAATAAAAGCCCTCTAGTGAGCTGAGTGTACAAAGCATTCATTCTTCCTTGGGCACAAGAAGGGAGATATTGGCAGTACATCATTTTAATACATGTTCCCTCTATCACACGAACATAATTCAAAATTCCAAGCAGACCAGAAATGGAAATAAGGAAAGGCTATGTCAGAGTGAATCAAGACTGGGGTCTAGGTGTACAAGTTTGTCATGAAATTCGCTGGAGGAAAAGCAGATAAGGGACACGGATCTGCTTGGAGTTGGGGATAGTCTGCATGAAGCCACATTCAGAACGTGGCCAAATCACCTATGCAGGAGGTGGTCAGGAGCTGGGGAAGGACTTCCAGGAACACTGGGCATGAGCAACAGAGTGAACGAGCAATAAAAGTTCTAATGCAGATCACCTCATGAGTTCACTGCAAGCATGAAAACTGACCCCATTGGCAATGATACTGATTCTGAAAAAGGATAGTCAACTGTAGAATCACCTACCTAGAGTTGAGGGGTGAAGAAAAAGGAAACCAAACAATTTCTTACCCTCAATATTTTCCATTCACACTGAAGAGTACAGCTGGCCCTCCATATATGCATATGTGCTCCTCATCTATGGATTCAACCAACCACAAATATTTTTTCAACTGCATCTATATTGAATATGTACATATTTGCCTACCATTTATATTGTAGTGGGTACTATAAGTACTCTAGAGATTATTTAAAGCATGGGAGAGGGGCCAGGGTGCAGCTCAGTGGTAAAGCATTTGCCTAGCATGCATGAGGCCCTGGGTTCAATCACCAGCACCACAATAAATAAATAAATAAATAAATAGCGTAGGGGAGAATATGAATAGGTTATATGCAAGTACTATGCATAATAAGGGATTTGAGCATCTGTGGAATTTGGTATCCAAAGGGGGTCCTGGAACCAATCTTCTTCAGATGTCAAGGGATGACTGATACAGTCTCCTTGTATATTAGTCTCCTATTGCTGCTGTAACTGATTACCACTAATTTAGTAGCTTGAAACAATACAAATTTTAAACTGTGTGGTACCATGGGCTGGAAGTCTCATGAGGGTCTCACCAGGATAAAATCAAGGTGTAGGGCCCCATACCTTTGTGGACACTGTAGGGCAGCAATCCCCAAACTTCTTGGCACCAGTCATGGGAGACACTTTTTCCATGAAGTGGAGTGTTTATCTTTTTATTGGTATATGTTTGCAATGTGTAGCAATTCCGTGCCCCAATGCGAGCATCATCATTTCGGCACCACTTTAGATCATCCATCAGGCAGTAGATTCTCACAAGAGAGGCAACCTAGATCCTGCGCATGCACAGTTCACAGTCAGGTTTGCGCTCCTATGAGAATTGAATGCAGCAGCAATTCTGACAGGAGGTGGAGCTCAGGCAGTGCTGTGAGAGACAGGGAGCCGCTGTAAATACAGATGAAGTTTCATTAGTTTGCCTGACACTGGCCTCCTGCTATGCAGCCCTGTTCCTAAAAGGCAAGGGACTGGTACTGGTCCATGGCCTGGAGATTTGGGACTCCTGTCGTAGGGAATAATCTGCTCCCTTGCCTTTGCATCCCATGGCTCATCGCTGCTTTCTTTCATCTTCAAAACCAGCAACAGCAGGTCCAGTCCTCACCTCACCTCACTCTCCACATTTCAGTACCTTGTGATTACTTTGGGCCCATTTAGAGAATCCAGGGTGATCTCCCCATCTTAAGGTCAGCAAATTAGCAGCCTTCATTCTGCTTTGCCATATTACATTTTCATAGATTCCAGATATTAGCACGTGTACCTCTTTGGAAAGGGGGTATTCTTCTGCCTGCCAGGTGGTCCTAGTGCTGTGAAGAAAAAGAAAAACAAAGTGGGGACAGGGGAGGGAGTGACCATTCTCCCTTAGACCTGGCTCCCTCTCACCACTGCTGGAGAGTTTCTCTGGGGTTTCCCTTTAAGGATTCATTTGACTACATTGTGCAGGCCCACCTGGATACCACCTCATCTCAAGGTCCTTAACCAAGGTCCCTACCACTGAAGGTAACATACTCACAGGTACTGAAGACTGGAGTGTGGCCAACTTGAGGCCATTATTCCCAGCCACATCTTAGGTGACAGGATGGTCTGAGCGGCTGATCTTGACAATGACTCTGAAATTTCCAACTGGTGCTTGGGCAGAAGCCCCTGCTGACAATTCAGTTGTTGCATCGGATTATTTCAATTTGATCAGAAAGCAGATTTCTCAGGATATCAAGCAGTCTGCAAGACACAGGAGAATTACACCAAATGCTTCCCTGGCAGTGCGAGTTTGTAAACAACATCTCTCCCAGTCCCTCCCCACTGGCAACTACTGATCTGGTTTCCATTCCTTTACTTTTGCTTTTCTAGGAAACATATGTAAATGAAGTTGTATGTTATATAGTCTTTTTAATCTGGATTTTTTTTTTTTTTTTTTGGTTTTTTGACAGGGTCTCGCTATGTAGTTCAGGCTAGCCTTGAACTCATTATGTAGCCCAGCCTGCCTCAGCCTCCTGAGTGCTGGGATTACAGGCGTGCAGCATCATGCCCAGCAGATCTAGTGTCTTTCAAGTAGAAAAATATATTTGAAATTCACCTTTGTTGTTACATGTATCAACAGTTCTTCCTTTTTTAGTGCCAAGTAGTATCCCATTGTATAAACACATCACAGTTTGTTTTCCATCTGGTTGGTGAAAGATATTTAGGTTTCCAGTTTTTGATGATAGAAATAAAGCTGCAGTGAACATTCATGTATTGGGTCAAGTGAATTTAAATTTTCATTTCTCCTGAGGCAGGAGGATCACCACGAGTTTGAGGCCAGTCTGGGTTACACAGTGAGTTCAAGACCAGCCTGAACTACATAGCGAGACTCTGTCTCAAAAAAAAAAAGTTTTCGGGGCTGGGGATTTAGCTCAGTGGTTCTGCTGCTTGCTCCCCAAGCACAAAGACCTGAGTTCGATCCCCAGTACCAAAAAAACAAACAAAAAAAGGGGCCGGGGATTTAGCTCAGTGGTTCTGGCGCTTGCCTCGCAAGTGCAAGGTCCCCAGTTTGATCCCTGGTACCAAAAAAAAAAAAGTTTTCATTTCTCCTGGATAAATACCTAGAATTATTGGGTAATATAGTAAGCATATAGTTATCTCTATAAGAAAATGCCAACAGGGCAGGGGATTTAGCTCAGTGGTTCCAGCACCTGCCTCGAAAGCAAAAGGACCTGAGTTCAATCCCTGGTACCAAAAAAAAAGAAAATGCCAACAAAGCAGCTTTACCATTTTGCATTTCAATCAGCAATGTGCGAGAGTTCCAGTTGCTCTATCTCCTTGCCAGCATTTCCTATCGTCATTTTTAAAAAATTTTTGTTTTGTTTTGATTTGGTTTCAGTTTTTAGCTATTTCAGTGGATTCATGGTATTATCTCACTTGGTTTTCATTTGCAATTCTTAGTTACTAATGACACTGAACATATTTTTGTGTGCTTATCTGCCATTCATATATCTTCTTTCATGGACTATCTGTTCAAAATCAGTTGCTTAATTGTTTAGTTATTTGCTTAATTATTTACTTAATTGTTGTTACCTTTTGAAAGTTCTTATATATTTCTCATATGAAGCCTTTGTTCCCATACTTTAAATTATCTCGAGATTACTTATAATACCTAATACAAGTTGAATGCTATGTGAACAGTTGTGGGTTTTGTTTTGTTTTTTCAATCCTGGAGATTGAACCTAGGGCCTTAGCCCTGAGCTACATCTCCAGCCTTTTAAATTTTTTTTTCTTTTGAGAAAGGGTCTTGCCAAGTCATTAAATTGCTTGGGTTAGGCTCAAGCTTGTAACCCCCCTGCCTCAGCATTCCAGATTGCAGGTATATGTCACCTGAGGTTACAGGTGTGTGTCACCACACCTCACATGATTAGTTCTTCTACTCTATTGTTTAGGGAATAATGACAAGAAAAGAAAGTCTCCACATGTTCAGTACAGACACAATTTCTTCCTCAAAATATTCTTGATGTGTGATTGGCTGAATCTATGGATTCAGAACCTGGGGATACAGATATACCATAAACTGGGTGGCTTATCAACAACAGAAATTTATTTCTCACAATTCCAGAGGTGGGGAATCCCAAGATTATGCTTCTATCAAATGCAGCATCTTGTGAAGTTCCGCTTTCTGGTTTGCACATGGCACCTTCTTCTGCATTCTGACATGATGGAAGGAACTAGCAAGCTCTCTTTTAATGGGCGCAAATCTTACTCATACACCCTGTGACCTCATGACCTCCCAGAGGCCCCAGTATATGCATCTTGGTGGACACAAGCATTCAGTATTAACAGTCCCATCCCTTTAGCAAAGACATCCCATAGTTGTCCTCCCTCTTATGTACTCTCATAAAAGGTTGTTCACATGTATTTATTTTACTGTGCAAAACTCACAGTACCATGTTTTCACACACACACAGACACACCTTTGAGCTCTTTGAGGCCTTGAGGGCAGGAATAATGCTTTACATACCTAGTCCACAAAGAACATTTTGGGGAAAGAAAGTGGGAAGAGTTGAGAGCTTGCCTAGCATGAACAAGCCCCTGAGTTTGATTCCTAGCAGAAAGGAAAGAAGGCAGGGAGGGAGAAAGAAAAGTGACTAACACAGAATTCCTTCCAAGATAGATGTTTGCCTAAATGTTGAACAAATGTGCGCCCTCAAACCTGTGTTAGATAATTCTGCCTCACACCTGTTATGTTAATTTTTTTCTTTTAAATAGTGTCTCACTATATTGCCCAGAGTGGCCTTGAACTCCTGGGCCCTAGCAATCCTCCTGCTCTATTTTCTCAAGTAGCTGGGACTACAGGTACACACCACTGTGCCCAGCTATTTCATTTATCTTAATGACCTGACCAGATGAATGCAAAACAACTCATTCCAAGCCCTGATGCAGTTATATCATACCAACACGGCCCAATTCTTACTGGATTAAGGTAAGTTTGTGCTTGGGAATGAGCCACAGGCCCCTAAAAAGCAGTTCTAACACATCATCCCTAAGGAAAACACACATGTTTTTCAAAGCACGAACTTGTTGCATCAGATTGTTAAGTAGTGTTACAACATTCCTTTGGCTTTGAATTGTTCTCAATGTTCCCCAAGTAAAGAATAATGTGTGGTCAACGTTCACTTCAGTGAGAACAAAACAACCAAGAAAAGCAAATACGATGTTCCACCTGCTAAGAGTGAACGGGAGAATGTGTTTTGCTGAATATACTACACAGACTGAGACAAAGGAAGAGATGGAATCGGATACTAAGGAAAGGGGTATATTTGAAAACTCACCACATGTGTTCAAAAACCAGCCTCCTCTGATTAGGCATGATTCTGAGGTCTGCTGCTCTCCACAACAGTTACATTCTTTAGCACTTCTGTGAGGCCCCGTTTTCACACAGTATAATGACAAATTATAAAGCTCTTCTAGATACATCATTTCAGGTGATCATGACCACAACATGGTGGGGAAGTATTAGCATCCCTCATAAATTTAAGAGAGATTAGGCACAAAAATGATGACCCAACCTACAAGTTTGTCCTGGCCTAGCAGATGGTGATGTCCCCTCGAGGAAAACTGCTTTAGATTTCAACTAATCAGATCCACCTTTTCCCCCATCTACTCCCATCAGAAAAGCAAATGGCTTTTCCAGACCCTAAACGCAGGGGCCTAAGTGACAGGCGGAAAAGGAGACCCAGCCCCCCTGGGAGTTCTTTTTAGCCACACCCCTCCTGACACCTGGGCTCAGGTGATCCTCCCACCTCAACATCCCCAGCAGCTGGGACAACAGGCTCCCTAGGAGATCTTTAATCACACAGAGGAAGTGGCCCTTTTCCTGAGATCCTCACTTAATTCACAAATTAGCAAACAACCCTTGGCTCTTTAACTACACTTACCCCAAAGTACACGAGGAGGTGGGAAACCAACACAGTCAAGGTTAGCAAATAGGAGGTGGTCTCCGAGAAGTGCCTCAGTCCACAGAGACTTAAGAAACAAAAGGAGATTCAGATTAAAACTTCCTTCCTCGTTGGGGGTACTGTGCTTCTCTTACCACAAAATGACCTTCGTCCTTTGAGAAGGGGTTTCCCAACTTTAAAAAGTCCTGTGGCAGTTGTGGTGGCATCCACCATTTCTCTCCACCCCACAGTAACCATAGAAAGTGATAGAGTGATAGTGTTCTTTCCATCTCTCCGCTGGAGAAACTGAGGCACACAGAGCTGGAGATGCTGTAGTAGTCATTCCAAACATAGCTGGTGGTCTGTTTTGTTTTGAGTGAAACAATTATTGAAGATATTGGGGTATCTTTTTTTTTTGGTACTGGAGGTCAGGACCTTGGGTATCATTTTTCAAAAAATGGCAAGGTATTGCTGGCCAGAAATATTTAATCACCATAAGGTATTTCAATCTGGCAGAGAGCGAAAGGATAAATGTGGGACTGAGTGTCGCACAGAGCCAGCTGGCCTTGCTATGCTGGAGATTATTTGTAATAATGACAGGACAGCCTCCAAACCCAGGCCGAGTCAGCGAGACCCAGAGCAAGACTCTTGCTCGGCCGCCTGGTGTGACCCTGAGCAACGGCTCCAAGACTGTCTCTTCATCAATACAGCTACTTCCCAGAGTTTTCAGCAGGATTAAAAGCATAGTGCAGTTAAACAGCTTAGCACACACTGAGTGCTCCATAAATGTTGGCTATTGTTATTATGTATTTAACTGGAGAGGGAGAGAGAACATCAGCTTACAATTTTGTATGCTTTGTTTTGTTTTTTCCTGTGTACAGACTACAGCAAAATGCAAACCAAGAACTTCAGGGGGATGTAACTCAAAATTGAATATTTGACATCATATAAACTAGAGATAATCCATATACTACTATTAAAATCAGGTTGGTAGAAAGAGGGTGGAAGTTTGCAACAGAGAGTCCAGGTTACAACCTAGTATTCAGTCTCTTACATTCTTGTGTATTTTTCCCAATTAGGGGAAAGGATAGGAGCACAAAATTAAGGAGTAAGATTTTTCAGGTAACCCTAGTCACATCTGCCCTTCCATGTATATGGGAGCAAGGCTAAAGGGACTGTGAAATTTTTGTTTGGATCAAGACTTCTAATTACCTATGCATGCTGGTTTGGAAGGGACTTTAGAATTCAGGCGTAGGATGTAGCTCAGTGGTAGATTCCATGCTTAGCATGTAAAAGGCCCTGGGTTCAATCCTCAGCATCAAAAACTAATTTTTTTTTCAGTACTAGAGACTGAATTCAGGGCATTGGCACTGAGCAACATACATCCCTAGATCCCCAGTCTTTTTTTTTTAGACAATGTCTTGTTAAGTCACAACATTGTCCGATCTGGGCTCAAACTTGTGATACTTCTCCCTCAACCTTCCAGAGTAGTAGGATAACAGGAATATCCCAATTCATTTTTAAGGAAACAGATAGGATATTAATTTAGCCATTAAGTGGAGAGCTATGCTGCAGAGCTAAGGTCTCCTGTTAGGTTAATGCAAAAAGGCAAGGTAAAAATATTGAATGGGGCAGCTAGGACCTCATGGATTAAGCATGGTAGAGCATCCATACATAACAGGATCTGAGAAATATGCTCCTAAATTAAAAATGAGAGTTAAAGTACTCAAGTTGGTAATATTTGATTATGTAAAAACTGTGTACTCATATTTTTATAACCCATGTAAACAATTATTAAATTTGTCCTAATGTAAAAGGTATGAAATTACCAACCTAACCTCAAAATGAAAAGTTCATTTTGTCAGACAGACACTGCTCAATGTGATTATATGAGCCATAGAATGAGTTAATAAAATAGATTTTCCCCCTTTTAGCACTTTGTAGCATATGAAATTACCTTTACTCTGCAAGTTACTCCAGGATATATTTTTAAATGTTATTTACAGTTGCCATCCAGGAAAGGATACATTTCAAATGTATCCTGAAATAATAGTGGCTTAAACAAGATAAACAATCCCATGTAACAAAAGTTCCTTCCCTTGAAAATGCCTAAGGGACTTCAAAAAGCGTAATCACTTCACTTCACTGTAACACTGATATGCTTTCCCACTCCAACTTTCCCCTGCTTCTTTTTAAAGTACAAAGAGCACCCATCATCTCAATCGCCCTAGCTTTCAGGCCAGTTGACAACAGCAGAATGCAAATTACTCAATCACTACAGATTTAAATAGCCACAGTATAACAGGAGTTTAGCAGAGGTGTCCTGGGAAAAAAATTTTAAAAACCAGTGACCCCGTGCAAGATGTACATTCTCACTCAGTCTGCCTCACGACCCGTCCCCACCTGCCCGCCAGCTTTATCTCCTGGTACTCCCCAGGACACTCCCCTCTCCAGTCTGTCCTTGCAGAGCCACCAATTGTACAGAATCAGTTCCTTGCTCCAAAATCCTCAAGGACTTCTATATCAGCAAAGATTTGCATTTGGCAGCCGGTAACAGAGCCCAGAAATAACAGTGGCCTAAACAAGATAAAAGTTTATTTTTCTTTTCCGTAAAGGAATTCTGGAGATAAGTGATGCCCAGCTGGTATGGCATTGCCTATGGTTCTTGTATCTCTTTACTCCACAATACGCCTTCTATCCCCAGGTACAAAGAATGCCTCCTCGGGTTGCATCTGTCCCATCCACCTCGTGGCAGCCTGGGGACAGACAGGTAGGTGTCAACCTTCTTTTCAAATGTCTTCAGGGCCTAACACAGTCCACTGGATTTTATGAACACTCCCTTCATAATCGCAGATACGAGGCTGTAACTCTGTGACAACACTGAAAGTTTTAGTAAATGCCAACAGTATTCTCCGAGGGTCATATTAGAAACTGCAGGATATAACTTGAAACTCTTAAAAGAGTCTGCCTTAAAAAAATCTACATATTTAGGAGCTAGATGTGCAGCTCAGAGATACAGCAATTGCTTAGCATGTGGAAGGCCATAGGTTTAATCCCTAACACAATCATCATCATCATCTACATGATTGGCTCACCATGGTGCTTGACATTTCCAGAGTTAGAGACTGGTATTTTTGCACTAACAGCTGCATCTCCAGTAAAAGCTACGCTATTATGCTGATGAAGCAGGAAGAGTTACAGTAAGTAGCAACTTTTGACACATGCAAACCTCAGGCATATGGAAAAAATATTCCATACTATCAAGTGGCACACAAATGCTGAGCACAATAAGCACATCAGAGGAGGCAGAAAGGTTTAAACACAGCTTCTGATAAAGCTGTGAAAGGTGTGGCTTGTTAACTCCTTAACAGGACTGAGTAAGTTTAGCGGAGGGAAGAGCCACTGCCCAAGGCCGGCTAAAGAAGCTGCCTGGCAGCTGCAGCAGTGACCCCGGGCTGCCCGTGTCAAGCATGAACATATGGAGGCCTTGGAGCAGGGGATGTCAGACAGCTGGTGGAGGGCAGCAGAAAGGACAAGTGGAAACTGTCTCCTGAAGGGCCCAGGGCAAAAGAGGTGCTCTTCCAGAATCCAGGTGCTTTGAGTTCCAGTCCTGCCTCAGCTGCTCCCTAGCTGGGTGATCCTGGACAGCGGCCAACCACTCCGGGCCTCATGTGTCACAGGAGCAGTCTGGACTAAATGCTCAGAAATGGTCATTCCTTGATGCTAATAGTTCCCGGCTCCCTAAACAGGCTGCTGAAGCATACAAAGGAATACGGAAGGAGTCAAAGGGAGTTCCAACATGGGAGGACTTGAGAAGTGGGTGCCACTCTGAAGGAACAATGTACCAAATCAGAGAGGCCTCTCCCTGCTCTGCTCCCTACAGCAGGCCAAAGACTTACCTTGGCGACTTCAAGAAGCTCCTATGCTCATGCTGTGGCATGTCCCAAAATAAAAAATATGATGAAATAGGAAACATACATGGAGCTGTCTTTTATGCAGCCCTTGTTCTAACTTCTTCACTTACGTTAGATTTTTTTTTTCTAGAAAAAAATGATTTTAAGATTGTAAGCTGGGGGGCCAGGGATTTAGCCCAGTGGTTTCACCACCTGCTGCTCAATCACAAGGACCTGAGTTCGATCCCCAGTACCAAAAAAAAAAGATTGTGAGCTGGACACGGTGCCATATGCCTGTTATCCCAGCATGGGGACATGGGGAAGGCTGAGGCAGGAGGACTGCAAGTTCAAGCTCAGCCTGGGCAACTTAGAGACTTAATGAAACCATATTTCAAAATTTTAGAAGACAGTGAGGGTAGGGCTATGGTTATAGCTCGCAAAGGCCTAAGGTTCAATCTCCAGTGTCACCAAGAAAAAAAAAAGAATTGGGATGAGAGCTGGAGATTTAGCTCAGTAGTTCCACCACCTGCCTCGAAAGCACAAGGTCCCAAGTTCGATCCCCGGTACCACAAAAAAAAAAAAAAAAAAAA